ACTGAAAAACACTCTGGCTTCCCCACCCCAGTATACCCGAGTTCTCATGTACCCTGGTTCATAGATTGACGCACAACCACTGAACCATGCTGGCTGTGCCCGAGTTATCTTTTGTTGTGTAAGAAATTACTTCCAGATTTATTGGCTTAAAACATCTCTCTCACAATTTCTGGCTTAGTTGGGTGGTTCTGGCTCTGCTCTCTCATGAGCCTGAAGTCTTCTGAGACTTTGACCGGGGCTGGAGGATCCACTTCCAGGATGTGCACCCACATGGCTGGCGTTGGAGCAGGCTCTTGGCAAGAGGCCTCAGTTCCTTGCTAAATGAACCTCTCCTTGGGACTGCTTGCGTGTCCTCAGGACATGGCGGCTGGCTTTCAGCAGAGCAAGGGACACAAGAGAGAGCAAGGTAGAAGCCACAATGTCTTTTATGGCCTAGCCTTAGAAGTCACGTACTGGCGATTCTGCAGTATCCCATGGACCCACAGGTCAGCCATACTCAAGGTGTGAGGGAACCACCGAAGGGTGTGGACACCGGGAGGTCGAACTCACTAGAGGCCACCTTAGAGGTGGCTACCACTCTGCCATACATGTTCAGTGACTACTAAAAATGCCTTCCTTCTCATGTTTATTTGGTAATTTGACTGAGGATTCAATTCCCTACGAATTTTGAAGGGATTTCTCTGTTTTCTTCTAGCTTTGAGAAGTACAATGTTATTCTGATTCCTGGTTCTTTGTCTGGGTTTCCCCTCAGTTCCTTTCTAGAAGCTTTTAAGACCTTCTCTTGGTAACCTAGTATTCTGACATGTGAGGATGTTTGTGGCTCTTCTGTCATTTTGTGCCAGATACCTAATGGACCCTTCTAGTTTAGAAACTCTAGTTACAGAACGTGGGCATACAGGTTAGGACATCTGCTTGCATGTGCACGAGGCCCCTTGCAGGGAAATATTTAAGGATATGACGAGAAGGGGGCGGGGCAAGGGTCCTGCTCTCCCCTGTTCTCCACTGTCTTCTAGTACAGAGTTCCATGAGACTCAGAAATTTGAATGTGGCCTTCCAGCTCATTGTGAAGGTTTATTTGTCAAGGTAGCAGAATAGGCAGTATTTTATTTCACATTTTATTAGCTCCATTTATAATTGTTAAGTATGCTTCCTTTTGTACTCACTACCCAGTCCCACAAATATTAGGAATGGCCTGCTGGGCAAGTTGCTTAGCTTCTCTAAGCTTCAGATTTGTTGTACATAAATGGGAATAAAATTACCTACTTTGAAGGGTTTTATTATGAGGGTAATATGAGATAATGCATGAAAAATGTTTGGGCTGATGGGAAAAGGTTCAATAGTTGTCTATCGCTATTGCCGAGCAAGCCTTCCACTTCAGCGCCCCCGTCTGGTTGGGTGGGAAACAGCAACTACTTAGAAGGCTGAATTTGGAAAAAACTGCACTTAGCTGATTTGGGAACAGCCTTAGCCTCTGTTGTTTGGCCTGCTGCTTCGTTTGCACTCCTATATTTGTCTGAAAACAAATGGGAGTCTCACTGACTTCTGGGACTAGTCTGGGCAGGTGGGAAGAGCTTCCATTTTTTTTCCCCTCCTACTTCCAGGATCCATCTGCAAACATTTCCTTACTCAAGTACTGAATTTGGCCCTGGCCGGTGACTCCACTTGTTGCCGGGGGCGGGGGGGGGGGGGGGGGGGGGGGGGGCGTGTGCAGGAGGCAGCTGATCAATGTTTCTCTCTCTTCCTCTCTCTCTCAAATCAATAAAAACATTTTTATTTTTAAAGAACTTAATATGGCCCTAGACAGTTTGGCTCAGTGGATAGAGCGTTGGCCTGTGGACCAAAGGGTCCCAGGTTTAATTTTGGTCAAGGGCACATACCTTGGTTGCAGGCTCCTCCCAGGCTCGGGAACTGGTCGGGGCTCATGCAGGAGGCAACCAATTGATGTGTTTCTCTCACATTGATGTTTCTCTTTCCCTCTCTTCTACACTCCCTAAAAATCAATGGGAAAAATATCCTCAGATGAGGATTAACAAAAATAAATGATTTATTTAATAAAAACACCAAAAAACTGAATTTGTATCCATTTTGCCATATTGCTTATCTCCATGAGGCTAAAACACTTTTGAGGCAAACTGAAGAATATAGTAATGATAATAGCTAGTATGCAAATGGTACTGATAATGTGTCAAGCACTGTCCAGAGGGCTTTATGTATACGTGTATTTTTTAATCTTTACAACTACAAGTGTCCTATTATCATCTCCATTTTATAGATGAGAAAACCAGGGCCCAGGAAGGCTAAGTAACTTGCCAGAGGTCACACAGCTGGTTAATAGTGGAACTAGGATTTGAACACAGGCAGTAGGCCTCCAGAGTCTGTGTTCTTGCCACATTGAGCCTTCTCTAAATATTAATATTGAGGCCCAGCCCAGTGTGGCTCAGTGGTTGAGCATCAGCCCATGAATCAGGTCACTGTTGAATTCCCAATCAGGGCATGTGCCTGGGTTTCAGGCTTGGCCCCCAGTAAGTGGTGTGCAGGAGGCAACTGATCAGTGAGTCTCATCATTGACATTTCTTTCTCTCCCTCTCCCTGAAATCAATAAAAACAAATTTAAAAAATATATTGAGTACTTACTGTGTGCCAAGTTGAGACTCTGGAGCTCAGGCTCTTAACCACCATGTTGTATTTGGGTTACCTTGGACAAATCCTTTTCCTCAGAACTTCAGTTATAACAATCCTATATAATAAAAGGCTAATATGCAAATCGACCAAACAGTGGAACGACGGGTGGCTATGACGCGCATTGGCCACCAAGGGGCAGACACTCAATACAGTCCACAGGGGGAGCACCACTCAGCCAGAAGCCGGGCTCACAGCTGGTGAGTGCAGCTGTGGTGGCGGCAGCCTCTCCTGTCTCTGCGGCAGCACTAAGGATGTCCCACTGACAGCTTAGGCCCGCTCCCCGCAGGGACTCCCCCAAGGGCTCCCAGACTGTGAGAGGGTGCAGGCTGGGCTGAGGGACTCCACCTCCCAGTGCACGAATTTCATGCACCGGGCTTCTAACCCTTTAATAAATGCCCATTCCATGTTGGCTATTTCACCTAATTCATCACCAACATCCTGGCTAGCATGTCCTGAGCTCTTTTTATGTGCCAGGCACTTTTCTAAGCACTTTACGTGTTTTACTCATTAGATCATTGTATGATAGCTCTGCAGGGTTGACCCACAGAGAAGTTAAGTGACTTGCTCAAGGGCTCACTTCTAGGAATTGTGGGATTCAAGATTGGGTAGCCTTGTGATTATCCAGGGCACTGTGGTTGCCTTTGGAGTCTTTGGTGGGCTCTTAGCAAATCAGTTGTGTCCAGGCACATGGATGAACTGTACTTTCCTGTCCCCTTGAATTTAGCTGCAGCCAATGATATAGGATGGAAATGATGGGTCACTTCTGGACATAGCTTAGGGGCCAACCTGAAACTCTGTTTGAGAAACACAGGTATAGCTAGCTATGTACAATTTTGATGACCTGAACTTTCCTCATACTCCTCAAAGTTTTTAAAAATAATACAGTAGGCATCACAGAAAGAGAAGTCTGTGGACCTATGAAGACAAACTGTCTATGTCACCATTTAGCCAATAACCAGGGAGAGACTCAAGTGGATGTGGAACGCTAGTGGAGAAGCCCTGTGAAGGGGGCATCTGTCAAGGTGATTAGCCAGATGCTAACAAGGATTCTTCTGGGTATCAGTTACATGCAGCAGACAAAAAAACCATTCTTAGAAATGATCAGGGCCTGGCCTGGGCATCTTCTGCATTGGAGTCAGCCTTGCTGCAAAAGCCTTGCTTTGGGTATGTCTGTCTGATTATGAGATAGTTAAATGTGACTGAGAATGTGTGCTTGGGGTCAGGTCAACACACAGCATCACTGCTCACTGATTGTGTGACCCTGGGCACGTTCCTAATTTCTCTGTGCTTCAGTTTTCTCATTTTCAAAATGGGGCCATGACCACCTACCTTGTGGGGTCATTGTGATAACGGAGACAATGTATACAAGACAGAGAGCTGCTTGGCACATGGTAGGTGCATAACCAGCAGGGCCAGTTACTCTTACCTGAGTGCCAGACTTGATTGTGTCAGTCTAGTCCAGGGTCTAATACAGGTCCAACGGCTCAGCAAATGATGAATTAATAAGGGACTAAGGGCTAACTTACAAACTCTGGATAAAGTCATCAGATACCATGTTCCACAATTAACTTCAATGCATATTAATTTCTAATAGTGAGAATTAGATCCAACAAAGAACTGCAGAAAGTAAGTCTAGACTATATATATATCCAAAATGCCTTCTTTAGGAAAGAAGCGGTAGTAAAACTGTGTTGTTGTGAGATGTAGGTTTAAGGTAAGATCCAACCCACTGGATGTATGCAGGGGCTGAAACCAAGCCCTTGACTCCATTAGCAACTGCTGAAACTCCAGCAGCTCGGCCCATTCTCACGCGAACGGCAGGTTCTCATTAATTCCTTGTTGGCGTGATCTGTCCACTTTAGTGTTATGTTCTCATTAGGAAGCCAGTGTAGGACTGAGATCTACCTGTGTCTTTCACACCCACAAGAAATGACTGAAAGGTGGAGCAGCATTCTTTGCAGTCAGAGAATCTGAATTTAAAATCCTTTCCTTTGCTACTTCCTAGCTATATGGCTTTAACTGTGCTATTTCATGGTCTGAACCTCAGCTTCAACTATAATGGGATTAATAGCTTAGTCTAGGGCTCCAAGTGTAACAAAGGACAGTGCCTGGTCCCCACCAGGTGTTCCTTTTTATCCGAGTCCCTCCCTTTGCTTACAGGGCTCTCCCCCCTTTCCCAGTCTGCTATGCTACAGACAAAAATCCAACCACCCTTTATCCAGCCCAGGGATTAAGATCTCTGCCTCACAGCCCAGGAACCAGACCTTTTGTGACCAACTCCCATTCTTTGACACAATAAGGGAGAAAGACCAACAGTATATGGGATTTTTTGTTTGTTTTTTTTATTTAGACATGGAATTTTTCTTTCATTTCATATAACTTATCTAATTAAAATATTCATCTTGGTAGTTACCACAAAAAAGTAACATAGAAAATTATATTTACATTTTGGGACCAAAATACAAATGAAGAGCAAGATGACACCTTGCTCCTTCCCCGCCCGCCTCCCAGAAAGAAAGAGAAAGCCCTAAAGAAACTGCTCATTAGATCAACGATCACAAAGGGTTAATTTGTAATTTGCTGATTTGTATGTAGTGTAGCACAGAAAAAAAAAAAAATTGCACACGTTTTCACAAATGAGACCAAAAGTTCGATGTCATCCTATGTCTGTTTAGCAGCCATTTCAAGCACCCAGGTAAGGAGGTCGTTTAGAAATTGGGTTTCTCCTCTTCCTTCTTTCCTGGTTTCACCAAGTCACATTCCTGATGCAAACATGCTTGGAAGGGGAGGAGAAAAGTCCTGGCTCTATTCAAACAGGGGTGATCAAAAATCTTTATGGTAGTGATGTTGGGATGAAAATGTGTATGTTTTTTCCCCCTCCCTGTCTAAAGACTCCTAATAAAGGAAATTAAATCATACACAACTGAATCTGAAATGTGAAAAACTGGTCTCAATGACAAAGACTTGAACACACAGCTAAGAGACAGATTTAAGGTGGACACCTCAAGGAAGCTATTCTAGGCACCTGACCCAGATGTTCATTTGGTTTTAGGTAAGAGGCTTCCTAATATTCCTAAGATTTGGGGGTAGGGATGGAATGGTAATACAATCAATCAAGAGAAATAAAATCCATTCAGAGAAATAATGTTTTACCCAGTTAAAAAACACAGCAAATTAAAACAGAGCAATACTTATGTCACATCACAACAGGCACCTGCACAGCAATGCACTGATCTTGCTCCTAAGTAAACTCAAAAGGGAGGCCCTCCCTTCCCAAACCAGGTGGATGCCCCTGTGGTTCTCTCCCATCCTGATGCTATAGCTTGGACACTTTTGCTAAGTTGACCCTTCGCTCCAAATTCTGGCTTACACACTCGGAAAGTAGAGAGAGCTTCAGCTGCAAAGTTCTCTACAAAACAGCAAATTGTTGTGCTCTTTCAGTCACATGATCTTACCTTTTAAAGAAAGCGAAAACAAAATCAATTTCCAACATAGCATTACAACTTTCAAAACCATTCACTTCTAATAGCAATTCATAGAGATTGAGATTAAAGTGCTGGCTCTTAAAATTCTGACGCTGTATCTGGGGGTGGGGGGGTCCTACCAAAAGCCCTGCCATGTATTTGTGTTTTTCTCCCATGCTAGTGGGAGAAGGAAAAACAGGGAAGGGAAAAAAAACCCGAAAGTTTTGAATCAGACACTGGAAATTGTAAAAATGCTGGGATTCTGTGCAAATCGCTCTCCCAAGGGTCTGTGTCATCTAGTGAGCCTCAAAAATGAAAAATAAAAATAATTTGGAACTGCAAAATAGGACGGGGGGAAAAGACTCTAGACCTTTACAAATAGCCTCCCTTAATAAATACTATTTAATGAATAATAAAGAGTTGTACCTGCAGAGGAACTCAAAGCAACACTGAGCAGGGTCTGAGGTGAGGGGTCTAACCTGGATGCTCCTGTCTGCTTGCTGAGGCCCCTCTAGGACAGGCAGCCCAGGACCCACTCCTCACCCTACGTGGAGCGGGCACCACAGGCTCTGGGGATGCCCAGTCCGCCCTCTGTACCAGAGTCCATTCAGGAGAGCTGAACTGGGACAGGGGAATGGCTTTCATTAGGCCTTTAACTTTAATAAAGGACCTGAACATAAAGGCTAACTATGTGGTAGAGGACAAAAACCAAAGAAAACCTGGGGGTAATATAAATACAATCTGGGGCAATATTTATTAATTAAAACTATCTTATAGTTTACAAAGAAGCTAAATAACAACAGAAGTATAATTGACCTTAAAATGCTCAGTGAGACTGAGGCTTCACATCTTCTTCAGAGCTCTGAAGTGTTCTCAGGCAGGAGGCAGTGGCGTGGCACAGGCTCACAGATGCGACTCTGGCAGACTGTGCAGGACTCGGAGACCAACGCTGCCACAAAGCAGAAGACTCGGGTCTCCTTTGGAAGTTCCATTCCCCAACCCCCACTGTCCTTGTCTTCCTCACCCCCAAATTCCATCTCCAAGGCAAGTCCTCAGTTTATCGTCGGGAAAATCTGTTCTTGAAAGCTTTAATTGTCTTAGCCATCATGGGGGCAATTTCTGTGGAAAGAGAAATAAGGCCATTGTTTCAGATCTGTGGCAGTTTAGACATACAACACCAGCGGTTTACAATCAGCCAAAGTCTTGCCACTCTTGGTTCTGCACTGCCGGGAGCTGGTCCATCCTTGCTGTTTCAAGGGACCTGGCATATATGGTATACTGTTCTTAATATGTTTGCTCACCTTCTTGGCACTATGTGTTTTAACCAAGGTCACCTCTCTGAGAAAGGTTGTTTCCCCAGGTAGGGATTTTTCCCTGAAGTTAGGGAGGGAATAAAACCCCTTAACTAAGTGCCAGGCAGGTAATTAATCACTTTAACTACGAACAATCATGCTTAAGCTACATAATCTTTACTCCCTGGAATGGAGATAAGAAACGCCCTAACCTTTGGAATAGAGATTGAGAGGATTGGAATCAACTAGTATAAATACAGATGTAACAAGACAACAGGACACAGAACCTACATAGAACCTAGAGACAGAAGTACTTTGCTGGAGAGAACATGGCAAAAGATCCTGGACAGAAACTGGACACAGAACCTAGAGACAGAACTTAGCTACAGAACCTGGCTGGAGTACCTGGACAGAACCTGGCTGGAGAACCTAGCGAGGGAACATGGCTGGAGAACCTAGCAAGAGAACATGGACACAGAACCTGGCTGGAGATCCTAACCAGAACTTGGCTAGAGATCCTGGCTAGGCTGTTGATCAACTGAATGCTGTCTCCATGTCCTTCCTTCTTCGCTGACTCCGTCCACACTTTTGGGGACCCCTGGACCTGCTGGGGTCGGACCCCAGCACTGCACCACCAGGAAAATGGATGCAAGTAATAGCTGTTGGCTAACATCACAACAGAAGCAGTAGCACAGAGCTACCACCTGCCAGACCTGAAACAATCACTATTTCTAACCTCACCAAGACACACACTCTGGCTAACCTGCCCCCGTAGTGGCAGAACTAATTCAATCCGGACTGTAAAGGCCATGGTGAGCCATAATTTAACTTTGTCTCATAACACCCAAACCAGCAAAAAGCATTCCCTTCCCACCGTCTGCTCAGTGTAGCAACAGGCGTTAACACGAGCTAAATGCAAATACCACCTAAGGACTGATAAATCTGCGCTCAGCCAAAGCTTAAGCCAGGATTCCTACTCTCCCATGGGCTCTGAAGACAGAATAATGCTTTTAAGTTAGGGCACCTCCTTAGAATACTGGGCATCGTCTATGGTAATCAAGTTAATAAAATACAAACAGACCCAACTAGATATAAAAAATAAATACTTGGAAGCTGGGGTTTTAAGGTTATAAAAACCTCTATAAGATGAACTATCATGTAGCTGTCAATAATGGTTATGAACCTGTTATTGCCTGGAGAACGTTTTACATTTAGATTTTTTAAAAAAGGGCAGAGTGTGAAAATGAACATGCATTATGATCATTATTTGAAAGATACACGTGCATTATGAACAAAGCGGGGGAAAAGAGGCCCTGACATGTAGACCAGCTATGTGCAAGGCATCATACATATGCTACATCCAGCACACAAAATGATGCAGGGTAATGACATTAAAGGGGTTCAAACACTAGTTTTGAAATATCTGAGCAGAAACCCCAAGTCACTCACTCTTCACAGTCGGTTTCCTAGGATCATAGGAAACAGTGCTGCTGACCACAGGCGCCAAGTGGGCACTGCTGGTACTGGGGCCGTCGTAGGCGGGCTCTTCCGGACTGGCGGTAAAGCTATTGCTGCTGCCACTGTTGGAGGGAGCTTGGCTGCTTCCTATGGGATAGGGGGCTGGCTTAATCCTGCAACACAGAAAAAGCTGGTTAGTCATGAGCATGAGAAATCCACCCTCAGCACCAACACCCTGAAGCTGGCCGGCCTTTCTGAGGAAGACTCAGTTTCGGGGCGTTGACCACTGCCTCCTGCTTGAGAACACTTCAGAACTCTGAAGATGTGAAGCCTCAGTTTCACTGAGCATTTTAAGATCAATTATACTTTTGTTGTTATTTAGCTTCTTTGTAAACTGTAAGATAGTTTTAATTAATAAATATGGCCCCAGATTGTACTTATATTAATTACCCCCAGGTTTTCTGGAAGTGGCTCTGAGATGACAGCGTCAGCCCTTCAGAAGGAATGATAGCCTCAACTAACTTTTCACTGTTTAGGTGTAAATCTGCAGGGCAAGGGCAGAAGCAGGGTGCTCTGTGAGGAGGCTGTTACACAAATCCAGGCAAGAACTGATGGTCCCAGACACACCTAACAGCCATGGAGGTGGTGAGGGTCAGATTATGGGCATCTTTAGAAGGCAGGGCTGGTGGTATTTGTGCTGGATCAGACATGGGCATAAGAGAAGTCAAGGACAATCTGCATAGTGGTGTGAGCAACAGGAAGGATGGAGTTGCCATTTGCCCAGATGGGAAAACCAAGAGAGGATCAGGTTTAGAGGTAAAAATTAAAAGTTCAGCCGAAACCGGTTTGGCTCAGTGGATAGAGCGTCGGCCTGCGGACTGAAAGGTCCCAGGTCCGATTCCGGTCAAGGGCATGTACCTGGATTGCGGGCACATCCCCAGTGGGAGATGTGCAGGAGGCAGCTGATCGATGTTTCTCTCTCATCGATGTTTCTAACTTTCTATCTCTCTCCCTTCCTCTCTGTGAAAAATCAATAAAATATATTTAAAAAAAAAAAAAGTTCAGCCAGGCCAGTGTGACTCAGTGGTTGAGCATCGACCTATGAACCAGGTCATGATTCAATTCCCAGTCAGGGCACATGCCCGGGTTGTGGGCTCGATCCCCAGTGGAGGGCGTGCAGGAGGTAGCCAATAATTCTCTTTCATCATTGATGTTTCTATCTCTCCCTCTCCTTTCCTCTCTAAAATCTATATATATAAAAGCCTAAGCAACCGGCCGACTGTTCAACCATCTGACCAGTAGCTACGATGCGCACTGACCACCAGGGGGGCAGACGCTCAATGCAGGAGCTGCTGAGCTGTGGTGACTTGGCAGTAGCGGTTCTTGGGTGACGCACCCCGGAACCAGAGAGGGGGGAGCCCGATTCCTCATGGGGCCGTGCAATTCCACCTTTGGCTATGGGTTATGTTGTTGCTGGGGCACTGTTGGCCCCAAATCTGGTTTACTGCCGAGCTGACCAGTGACCACAGACACCCTTTGAGCCACTGCAGCTTGGGCAGCCAGGGAGGGACCGCAGAAGACTGGCTCCAGGGCATATCTGGCTGTCTAGCCCAGTCCCACCCAACCGGCCACCGGCTAATTAATTTCCTTTTAATGTGCACGAATCCGTGCACCAGGCCACTAGTATTTAATAAGTTAGTCATACAGTAAACACCATTTTTGCTTAAATGGGGGAAGGGAAAGCGTAAGTGTTTCCAGAAGCCAGATATCAGACGTTCTCTACTTAACCTTGACCTCTCTGAGAGTCAGCAATAATTATTCAGCCTGCACTGCAGTCAAGGAAGCTGGGGCTCCAGAACCCACTCTGCACTGCCATGCTTTCCCTCCAAAATGAATTGCCTGGGCTGCCTTCTCAGGGTGAGTGAAAGCTCATGGACCCTCTTCCCTGAGCTTGCAGAAAGCAGAGCAGTAGAGATGGTACCTGATTTTCTCGGGCACAGCTGCTCCTCCTGTTCCAAACTTCTCCTGCCTCCTTCGAACATCACGAGGTGGTTTGGCTACAGAGTGGACAAAGGCCATCTTTGCCTGTCGGCCTGTGGAAAAATACGAAGATTAATACCTGCCTTCTGGAACAGAGATGCTACTGTTATTTCAAGAATCTACACTATTGCCAGATAAAAGCTTATCAAGTGCCCCCAAAGCTGAGGGTTCACCAAGCCTGAAAACCGCTTTGTAGGGTAGCATAAGCAGTGGTAGAAAAACCCCCTCTGCCCCACTTGTGCAAATACAAGAGATTTAGGGGCCAGAGGCCCTACATCAGCAGGGCCTACCAAGACCCTGCTGTGGACCAGAGCACAGGGCTCACTATTTTGCCAGGCCCTGTCCTGCCGGTCCTTCCCCGCCTACCTTTGGGCTTATTGGCATGTGCAGATCGGATATTCTTTGTCAATAATTGTAGCCGCTGCTCTCGGGCATCCTGAAGCCTCAAGTACATCTCCCGCCATGACTCATACTCTTCTGGCCTTTCTTCCTTAAAGTCTCGGTGACAATGAACTTTCCATAATTGATCTGTTTCTTCAATTAATACCTAAAACCAGAACCAGGACATCATTTATATGCAAGCACTCTTATGTATCTCTTTTCCACCTTTAATCACCTAGGTTTCCTAATGATTTTTTGGTCCACATAGAAATATATTAAAATACCCATGGTTCTAGAAAAAAATCAAATCACAAAATTAAAGTTAAATGTGATGCACCATACTAGCTGCTTTTGGGGGGTTGTGTGGCTAGGAGATAAGACAACACAACATTAGTTTAAGATCATTCTTTTCCTTTATAAACATCAATGAAGGGTCAACTAGAATGAAGTCAAATCCAGGCATTTTCCAAGTGCTACACTGAACTGTATTGGCGAGGGGCCATCTAAGGAGGATATGTCAGGGTTCAATCAGATAAGTGTGTCCCAGCATTAGGAAAAGGGTATCTGGATCGATCTCGATGTGCCTAGGACACACCCAGCCCCTTGTGCTCTTTAAAAAATTCACCAGACACCTGAGTGTCAACACAAAGCTCTATCCCCGGCCTGGATCCCAGGGGTGGTGCTGCCAGAATTCTCCCTTTGCCTCTGTGACCAGGTAAGCTCAAAGGAGGTATGGGAAGTGCTTTCCTGCTTCCTTTGAATCCCACCTAAGATTCTAGCCCAAGAGGCCCACTTAAGATGCCAGAGACAGATGCTAAAAATATTTTTGTTTAAAGGCCCACTGGCAAAACAAACACGCCCAGAACAGTGATCCAACCTGTGGCCTACCCTTCAGCTGCGGCCAATTCAAAGACAATGCTATTTGTGGACACACAAGCCAGAAAACTGCCCTCTTCTCACCCAAACAGGATACTCACATGATTGTATTCCTCTATGCGATACAGCTGATCAGGCGTACACCTCTCCAAAACGGGTTCAAGAACAGAATACGGGACGCCTCCCACTTCAAAGATTGCTGCAGAGAATCAAAGGTGAAAGCACTGAGTAGTAGCCAAGCCACCCAGTGATGCTGCCCTAGCGAGCGCCACAACGTGCTTGAGAGCTAGAGAGAAGCATGTGACTTACAATCAATGTTGTTTTTAAGTACCCGGATGCACTGCTGGTGCAAGGTCATCATTTTGGGGAGATAAGCACACTTGGAACCAGAGTACACCTGCATCTTAGAATTCATTCTCCGTCCAGTGAATCCAACTTCCTCCTCCTCCTGGGAAGAAGAGTGTGCTGTAACGCAAGAAACACAGAACGTAAGTTACAAAGGCTCTAAGCTATCGAGTGAAAACCATCCTTCCCACCCCATTCCTCAGCCTCCTTTCCCTTTCTCAGAGGCAACCAATGTCACCAAATTCTTGTGTCCTTCCAGAGTCTATGCAAAAGTAAGCAAATGTGAATTGTTCCTTTTTAACCAATTAGTAACATGCTCACTATTATCGTTTTTTTCATTTACCACATTTTAGAAATCATTCCATTGTCAGTACATAGACTTTCCACATTTTTAAAAAGATTTTTAAATTGGCAGTTTGACTCAGTGGACACAGCGTCGGCCTGTGGACTGAAGGGTCCCAGGTTCGATTCCGGTCAAGGACACATGCCCGGATTATGGGCTCAATCCCCAGAAAGGGGGGGGGGGGGGGGGGTGGTGCAGGAGACAGCTGATCAATGATTCTCTCTCATCATTGATGTTTCTATCTCCCTCTCCCTTCCTCTCTGAAATCAATAAAAAAAAAAGAAAAAAACATGGTAGCTAAGAGCTTTATCAGCTTTTAATCCACTACACAGCCCTAAGAAACAGAAACCATTATTATTCTCATCTATAGAATATAAAACTGAAGTCCAAGGAAATTAAGTTACTACACAAGTTCATGTAATTTGTAGAAGGCAGAGATGGATTCAAACTCAAGACATCAAACTCCAGAGCCTGTCCAATTAAGAAACTCACCAAAATCTGATGACAGATCATGATTTTTAAAATCTTTCTTCCATTTAAAAAAAGATACAGAAAATTACCTTTTCGCTTTGGTTGGAAGGAGGATATCAATTCTAGGGAAGGAAGTGGCCGGTAATTGGCCTGTATCACAGGTAATGGGATGTCTGGCAACACTGGCAGGACATCAATGGGGACCTGCAGAGGAGAGACGAGTGACCGGAGTGCCCTTTTCTACAGGCACAGCTTCCCTTCCTCCTGTCCATACCCAACAGAGTGGGCCAGGCAGTACCAGGCAGATCCAGGCTGGAGGAGGGCAACAGGCATGTCTCACACCTATGTCAGGAAATACAGACAGATGGGCCCAGCACCCAGGACACCTCAGCAAACACTTCTTGGGTATTCTCCACCCTGGCAGGTAGAGGCCTGGAGGAAACTGAAATTCAACCAGCCATACAAAAGCCAGCCATGCAAAGAGCAGCAGGGTGGGTCCTAGGAGCTCTGCAGAGCCAGATGCTCTGAATGGGAAGCACCAAGGGGCTGAAGGGGTTACCTTTCTCGGCTTGGCTGCATCGGCTCCAGCTGCCTGATGCTTCTCTGACTTGTTTTCGTTCACCTTAGGCAATTTCTGAACTGTGTCCGAGCTTTTACTAGTGCTTTTCGAATCATTTTTTTTAAGTGCTTTTTCTCCAGCGGTCGCAGTTGAGGTTTTCACAATCTTTTTCTTTTTCTTCCGCGGCTGGTCATAGCTGAGATATGACTCAAAAGACATGGTGGGCTGCTCAAATTCATCATCCATATCCGTCTCCTCAACTCTAGGGAGGGAGCCCGCTGACTTTCTATCTGAATGAGTTTTCACTTTCCCTTCTTGAGTCTTTAGGTTGTTAGAAACCTTCTCTTTTGCTTTGGGCAGCAGGTCTCCGGCCCCCTTTCCTCTGTCTAAGCTGTCTAGACTTTGCTTGTTTTTATCTGATTTAGTTTTCTCTGAGTCTTTGTGCTTTTGCTTTTTACGGTGGTTGTCTGAAGCAGTCTCCAAGGGGGATGAAAACTTCTTGGAGTTGCCCTCTCTGTCCTTCTCTTTCTTGATACCACTAGAGGGCGCTTTCTCCTTTGTGACATCCCCTGAGAGGGGCCTCCGGTTTTCCTCTTTGGCAATGGCCTTGTGGGATTTCTCTCTGCTCAAAGGCGACTTCTCATCTCCCCTGGCATCCACTGGACGTTTTTCTTTATGGGATGATTTGTGCTCCTTGTTCTGACTCACAACCCCTTTCCCCCGGGGCTCACCCAGGTGTCTTTCCTGGCTGGCCCCGAGTCTCTCCTGAAAGGCATTACTGTGGGCCTTTCCAGGCTTCTGGTGTGGAACAAAGGGCTCATGGTCCTCATCTGGGGACCTGTAATGGTCCACGGACATCTGATGAGGACTGCTGGATGATGGAGGGGACTGCACATGGCCGTAATCGGAAGATTCATGATCTGAAGAGTAAACTGGTGAAACCCTGTGGCCCCTCTTTCGCTCATCTCGTCTCTCCTGACTGTGAGACACTTTGTGAGGTCTTTCGAACTCTGAGAGTTTTCTGTGTTTTTTCTGTCTGTGATCAGGACTATATGGTTGGCTACTGGAGGCTTTCCAGTTTTCTTGATAGTCCCCCTCTATCTCCTCCTCCTCCTTCTGAAGAACATCCCTGGGGCGCTTTCGGGAATCATTCTTCTCAAAGTCCTGTTCATCAGCGTCAGTGTTTCTAAACAGAAGAATATACAGATAAAGCAGTTATAAATCTCAGTGTTATCCTTGTTCAGAGGACACAGTCACGGACCCTGAACTCACAAAAGAGCCACAGAGAAGGCAAACGTTAGTAAGAAGGTCTTGGGAAGAAAGTAAATGTGTTCTGCTCAAAGACACTTAACAAAGTTTTAAAACTGGGAACTTATGCCCTGGGCGGCATGCTCAGTGGTTAGAACAATGGCCCATGCACTGAAGAGTCTTGGGTTCGATTCTTGGTCAAGGGCATGTACCTGGGTTGCAGGTTGGATCCCCGACCGTAGTCGGGGCTCATGTGGGAGGCAATCAGTCAATCTCTCCCACACTGATGTCTCTGTCTCTCCCCTGCCCCACCCTCTAAAAAAAAAAAGCAATGGGAAAAATATCCTTCTGTGAGGATTAACAAACAAACTAAAAACACAAAACCTGGGAACTCAAATATTCAATAAATGGAAAATGATGAGTTTAACTATAGGACACAAAGACCAAATATCTTATAGGCATGAAAATGCTTAATACAGGGACATATTTGTTACATAAAAACAAAGGGGCTGTTATATATAGTTTGTTCACAACTACATAAAAAGCCTTCTAAGAAAACATTAGAAACATCAAAATGTTAATAATATTTATCTTTGGATGGTAGACTTAAGAAATTTTGATTTTTATTTCTATTTTTAAATACTTTTTAATACTATAATCATGGATTACTTTAATATCTGAGGCAAAATATTTTAAATAAGAAGGCAGAGAGGAATAGTAGACAAACATTTCTGTCTGTAAACACGCCAAATGCCAGCTTTAACCATGAAACTGAACAGACCTAGAGCTCTGTTCTTACCGCTCCACAGGAACCAGCTTCTTCCACTGGGCCACGAGGTCCCTGGCAAAGCTTCCCACATGCTCGTGTTTTCGTAAGCTATTTACCGTCTTCCCAACGCCTGTCTCCTGCAAATTGAACACATGAATTTTTAGAGTTGTGGAAATAGGCTCACAATTTTCAAAGAAATCAGACCTCTTGCTTTTTAACAAACCAATAACTTCCTTCTTAAAATGTATCTTGCAAGCCCCAGTACAAAATTAGTTTGTTTCTATACCCCAAACCTCTGACACATAGTAGCAAATAAAGCATACCAGATCAGAAGAGGAGATACTGAATTAAAACACTTCTACAATAACCAGTGGTTCTGGCAGGTGCCAGACACTGAGCTAACAGCTTTGCATAGAGTATCCCAGTCAGTCCTCACAGTAACAACTCTGTGAGACAGGAATCTACCCATTTTACATAGAACAGGCTAAAGTCACAGAACTTGGATTTGAACCCAGGACTAGTTGATGACAAAGCCAACATTCTTTCAATTTTTAGAAAAATATTTTTGAGATAAAATTCATGTAACATAAAATCCACCATTTTAACCATTTTCAAGTGTATAGTTCAGTGGTTTACAGAATATTTACAAGACTTTGCAGCCACCACCACCGTCTAATTCCAGAACATTTGTCACCCTAGAAAGGAACCCTGCTGCTCCCAATCGCCCCCACCCCCTGGCAACCACTAACCTACTTTCTGCCTGTGACAGTGAGGGTGAACCTTTTGAGCTCGGCGTGTCAGCATTTTGAAAAACCCTAACTTAACTCTGGTGCTGTGTCACATATAGAAAGTTTTTGATCTTTGCAACCATTGTAAAACAAAGACTTATATTTCTGATATTTATTTTATATATTTAAATGCCATTTAACAAAGAAAATTCAACCAAAAAAATGAGTTCGCGTGTCACCTCTGACATGCGTGTCATAGGTTCGCCATCACTGGCCTATGGCCTGCCTATTCTGGACATTTCATATACATGGAATCATACAATACATGACCTTGTGTTTCCATTCCTTCACTTCCAAAGCCCATGCTCTCTGTCTTATGGTACAATCTCTCCCATTAGGAAGGGGATAGGATATAGTTAGTTTGTGTTTTTTATTAGGGTAGATATAGTTTTATATAATATCTAAAGTTATACAGTTCTTACCACAAGAATGTCTACTGTTATAGGCAAGGCGGAGAGCTTCTTCAAATATTTTAATAGCTATAGAGAGAATAAAATAAACATTAATTCCTATAAACATAAACATTCACTGGAACAAATAATAATATCTGACAGTTAAATACTTACTCAGTCTAAGTATTATACAGTAACAAGTATGGTTATTATCCCAATTTTACAAGTGTGAAAACAGGCTCAGAAAAGGTAAGTTACTTGCCCTAGGATGCAAGTAGGGCGAGATTCATTCAGGTCTGTGGCTTAGATTCCTGGCTTTTTTTTTTTTTTTTTTAAATACATTTTATTGCCAAAACCGGTTTGGCTCAGTGGATAGAGCGTCGGCCTGCGGACTGAAAGGTCCCAGGTTCGATTCCGGTCAAGGGCATGTACCTGGGTTGCGGGCACATCCCCAGTAGGAGATGTGCTGGAGGCAGCTGATCGATGTTTCTCTCTCATCGATGTTTCTAGCTCTCTATCTCTCTCCTTTCCTCTCTGTAAAAAATCAATAAAATATATTTATAAAAAAAAAAATAAATAAAATAAAATAAAATAAAATACATTTTATTGATTTTTTTACAGAGAGGAAGGGAGAGCGAGAGAGTTAGAAACATCGATGAGAGAAACATCGATCAACTGCCTCCTGCACACCCCCTACCGGGGATGTGCCCACAACCAACATACATGTCCTTGGCCGGAATTGAACCCAGAACCCTTCAGTCCGCAGGCTGATGCTCTGTCCACTGAGCCAAACCGGTTAGAGCTAGATTCCCGGCTTTTAACCACTGTGCTACACCAACAGGAAATGAGACTTAAAGAGAATCAAACCTACCAACTCTAAGAAAAGTTATCAACTACCATTTTGAGAGAATTTCTAAGAAAGGTACTGATCTTAGGGAAATTACCCATGGACTTGGCACAGAGGACAAGAAAAAGGAGAAGTCTCCGTAAGAAAAGGGTACCATGTTTCCAGGCAGAGTCAGCAGTGTTTAACAGAACTGTTTTTTGGAAACAATGGGAAGGCAAGACCAATTTCAAGTTGCCAGAATTAGAGCATTGCCATTAATGTTAAACACACAATGTCTGGGGATATTAGAAAAGTGATCTGGGTTTGGTCACATTTCCTGTCCCTAAAACTAGGTCAAAATCAGGACAGCACTGCTGTTAAGACAGTTCCAGAGTCAGAGACAGGCTTGTTTTGCCCTGTCACCTCCTTGCCAGGCGATCTTGTACAAGTCAGTAACCTCTCTGCACCTCATTTACTCCATCTGCAAAGTAGGAACTGGATCCTGTTTCTGCCTCACAAGTGTGAGGATTCGCAAAAAAACAACCATGAGTAGTCCTTAGCTATCGAGTCCTATAAAGCTCAATAAATGTTTATAATTAACCATTTCATTCATCAAGGAACAGATCTTTATTTTTTTTGTTAATCCTCACCCAAGGATATTTTTTTCCATTCATTTCTAGAGAGGGGTAGAGACAGAGAAACATCAATTTGAGAGACATCAACTGGGGGCTGCAACCGAGGGACATATCCTTGACTAGAATCGAACCCATAACCCTACAGTCCGAGGGCCAACACTCTAACCACTGAGCAAACCGGCTAGGGCTCAAACAGACCTTTACATGCCTACCCTTGATCCTCAACCAGATAGTCCCCAGCCAATTCAAAGTTATACTTGCTCCATTTCCACCAGAAGTCATGTATGTACATGTAAACATACTACCATTCAAGAAGCTGCAAATTACAAGTAGTTCAAAATAGAGAACTGTGACTAACCTTTACATTTACATATTAGTTCTTTTTCCATGTATAGCCCAGGACATATAAGTATGTCACAAGCTACAGGTGGAGTAGCAAGTATGTTTTTCTGATCACTCTACTTCAATAATTACTGAATATGGTCACTAGGCAGAGCAACTGGATCACATATAACATTGTGTGACCAGGAACAAATGAGAAGCAAGTGGTGGATCTAGGGAGTTTCACCTTCATAGTTGAGTGAAAATTATACTCCACTTCAAATCTGGCTTTGTGTTCTGAAGTGAACATTAAGAAGATGAGAAGCTTCCAATATCCAACTTAGGAAAAACAATTCCTCTCCTTAAAGGAACACTGAGAATCACTGAAAAGGTTAGAAATACATTGTCTCCCCTAATACCATTCCCGGGAAGGCATTTATATGCCAACTACTGTGTGTCGATGACTATGTTAAGTTCTTACATGTGTCACCTCATTTATTTCATCTTCATTAACCACCTCTATAAAGTGGATATTATTCTCCCCATTTTATAGATATGGAGACCGAGCTCAGTGAGGCTAGGTAACTTACCTAATGAGCTAGTAACCAAGTATACCTACCTCAGTATGTGCTACAAAGCCAGAAGCAACATCCAAAACAATATTGTCCTTAGGAAACAGAGCTGTAGTTTACCCCAAAGCAAAAAGCTCCTCCTTATAGCATCATATTGTCAGACAGTTTAGAGTCCACAGCGTAAAGGTCGCCCTGGGGACAAAGGATCCTCAGGAGCTCTGAAAGCCAATGTTAAGGATGGGTCAGAAGTCACTGAGAGGTGTTCCATCGCAAAGCCTAGCACTAACTGGAGGAGCAGATGCTACCTTCCTGGTTTGCTTTGGGTTCGTAAGGGCGACTTAAGAGGAGACAAAGCTAAAGCCCTGGAGATTTTCAAAACGCTTTAGCCCCATAAGTGAGAGGAAAGGGACTTCAGAGCCCTCTGTTTTCAATGAGGTTCAAGAAAAAACACACACAGAGCAATAACAAGGTAAAAGCACTTTGGGCATCCTCAGGTAGATGGAAACTTGTTATTAAGCCAAAAGACCATTGTAGAGTTTGCAAGAACTGATAACAGGTCACTGAGAAATGTCAAACATTTGCACAGTACAGTGGGGCCTTGACTTAGAGTTTAATTCCTTCAGAGACCGAGCTCGTTAACTCAAATTACTCTAACTCAATGCAAAAAATCAGCCGAGAGACAGCTGGTATCTCAAAAACTCGTTAGTCGGGACACTTGTAAGTCAAGGCCCCACTGTACATGCTTAGGAATTCAGCTGTCCTCTGCACACGTCTTCGAATCCAAAGAGCAGAAGATGTTCGTAAGGTTGACTCCTTAGTCTCCACTTGCCATCAAACTGTGTTCTGGGTAGTTTCACATTCAAAATGTAACAATGGACAGGTAACTTTACCAGCCATAAAAATTATTTCCCATAACATAGTAGCAATCAAGTGATCCTGGTCTCTGCCTGACACCTTTGCACCAAGTAAACCTTGACCATAGATGGACTTAAAAGTGAAAATAGTTAAACACCAATATTAATACCAGAAAATCCACGAATATATGCATGGAATCCACCCTTTGGCTAATAATGGTTTGAAATCAGGATTTAGTTGCAATTCGGTACTGCTATATAATCATCTTGCAATTTCAAGAACAACCTGTGGGAGCTTGTTGGGTTAACAGAAGGTTGAGGAAAAGGCCATTGTGCCAGCTTGCAGTTTTCCCCCTGCAGTTAGCTCATTTCTGCACGCTAGCTAATGCTAGCGAAAATGATCTCCCAACATTTTTCTCATCTTCTTTTAATTTTTAAAAATTGATCTTAGAGAGATGGAGGGGGAGAGGGGGAGAGGGGAAGAGAGGGAGAAGGAGACACACAGAGAGAAACATCCATGTGAGAGAAACAACCTCATATCCACAGGTTGCCTCCCACATACACCCCAACTAGGTATCAAACAGCAACCTAAGTATGTGCCCTGATCAGGAATTGAACCTGCCACCTTCTGGTGTATAGGACAACCAACTGAGCCAAACTGGCCAGGGCTTTTCTCATCTTCTTAATGTTCACTTCAGAACACAAAGCCAGAAGTTCAGGGTGATTTCCTATCTGGGAAGAGAAAGCCCAAATACTGGCAATAATCTCTAATAGTTCAAATAGGACAATAAGTCAAACCTTTCCCTAATTTGGAATTTCGTTCACATCTACTACTAGAAAAGCTACTTCAAAATTTAAATTCTAGTGGAAGAATGACTATAGATACTACCTGGTGCATATTTTTAACCTGATAGATCAAAATTAGGGTTGGGAGATGGATTTACATAATATTGCTTTAGGTTTTAAAGATCAGTCACAAACCTACAGAGTTTAGGAAAACCAACTGGTACTAAAAAATAGTGAACATTTATTAGAAGTCCAAAAAGGGTTATTATAAAAAGAAACTTGTAAAGATGCCTGGCCACTAAGTACTGAAGCCACAAGAGAAAATAACACAATAATAAGCATTTACATTTTCACAGATTTAAAACTAAAATGGCTTCCTAAATAAGTGGATCTTTGAGCTAGGTATGAATTCGAAGAGTTAAAAAGTGGCCTGATGGTGAGATGCTGTATGCAGCCTTTACAAATGGAGAAAAAAACCCTCGTCTATGACAAGCTGGGAACAAGGTGAAGAGAAAGGGCCCCTTCAAAAAAATGGTGAAGGGTGGTGATTAGTATCTACTGGCACTTCCCATGAACCTGGCACTTCTGCCTTTTAGTTTATCTTAGGAAGCAGCAGGTGAGGAAGCAGGCTGAGCAAGGATGTCCCCACCCTCCGTGGCTGGTAAACGGGCCCCTTCATCTCCCCCTCAACAGGCACTCTGGGGCTGAGACCCAACTCTCAGAAACTGCACACTCGCTAGAAAGCCGACAGAGAATGTCAAACCAAGGTGTTTTCATCCGTGTGTTTAAATTTCAAAAATTCTAACACCCACCTCTCCCAGACACGGATAAGATGGATAACAGAAAGTCGGAGAGGGAGAAGAATGCATTTAACTTAAGAAAAGCTTAAAAAATAAAACAAAACTAGCTGAATACAATTAAAAATGGTTGCCCATCACTCGCTGCAAAACGAGAAACGTTAGCTCTTACCTTCTATGAAGTGAGGCCAGCAGGAAATCTACCCGCAACTTCTAACCTTTTTCCTTTTCCAATCACAACCTAAGTTTTTAGGCTCTGTACAGATAGGAGACGTGAGGTTTATTTTGCCTCGTTTTTTAAGGGATTTACTCGGAAAGTGAAAAGGTCCAAGTTCTAGTATCAAAACGTCTCTTGGAGACGCAGGACCACACGCCAAGCCCAGACTCCTCGTTCGCAGGCAGACTCACCTCCTCCTCCCAACAAACATCAGAGACAGAAACCTTCGCGGGGAGGGACGGGACGGGGAGGGCAGGAGTGAACTCCGGGCGAGCGCTCCCGGCAGGAAACAGCTGGCCCGGGACGCCCGGAGGCTCGGGAGCCCGCGGACACGCGGTGCCCGCACGGTGCGCGCCTCCGCCGCCGCCGGTGCCCCGGACCGGCCCGGAGGTAGGGAGGTTCGGCCGCCGAGGCCCGCCGCCTGACGTGCGGGTATCTCCGCGTGGGCCGCGGCCAAGGGCCGGAACTTCCCGACTCCGGGCTGCGAGCGCGGCGGGGCCTGGCTCCGGGTCCGAGCCCCACGGCCCCGGCTGACCTGGAGGGGCCGCGCTCGGGCCCACGACCGTTACGGGGCCGCGCCCGCCCAACGCCCGCCCGCTCCGCGCCGCCCACTCGCTCACCTTCTTCGGGTCCGGGTTCGCGGCCAGCCGCGCCTGCAGCTTCTCCACAACTTGGAGCGCCGACTCCGCCGCCATCGCTGTCACTGGCGCGGCCTCCTCGCCGGAACTGGGCTCGCGTCGCGTCCTCGGGCCGCAGCTCCGCCCTCCGTGCATCCCCGGCGGAGACGGAAGCGCTACTGCCCCTTCCGGGCCTCGGCGAGCGAGGGGAGGCGCGGGGCGCTGGGCGGCCGCAGGCCCCGCCCCAGGCCCCGCGGGCCGGTCCCCAAGGCGCGCTCCGCGGCCGCGCGCACCGAGAGCTGGGCCGCCGGGGCCCGGCGCGCCGTCTCCATGTCGGCGGTTCGCGCAGCCCGCTCCAGCTCGCGGTGCAGAGCCACGGCCTGGCAGGCGTGCCCGGTGCCTAGTTACGACGGAATGAGGCCACAGCCCCAGACTCGGGCTTTATAAATCCTAATCCGGGGCGGGGGGCGGTGAGCCACGCCCCGCCGCGCGGGGATTAACGATTGCGACCACCCTAGGCTGAGTGCTACCTTAACTTCACCTTCAGTACAACCCGAAGAAACCTGTTATATCATCCCCACTTTTCCAATGAGGACACGGAGACCTAACAGGAAAGAGGTGAAGCTGGAATTTGAATCTAAATAATCTAGGTCCACTGTGAACACATCTCTGTATAGGTCGAGGAATGGAGGTCCAGAGAGAAAGGGATTTGTGAAAAGTCAAACAGCTTAGTTAACTGAGGTAATAGCCCGTGTCTCCATTTCCTCCCAAACCCTGTCTGGTACATAGGCACCAAATAATGAATGAATGAATGGGGTTGTGAATCAGACCAACCCAAGACACCATCCTTGAGGGCACTTACTCTTATCCTAACACTAAATTTTATTGTTACTGTTATTAATACTAAAAAGAACTCAACAGCCGAAACCGGTTTGGCTCAGTGGATAGAGCGTAGGCCTGCGGACTGAAGGGTCCCAGGTTCGATTCCCGGTCAAGGGCATGTACCTGGGTTGCAGGAACTTCCCCAGTGGGGGATGTGCAGGAGGCAGCTGATCGATGTTTCTAACTCTCTATCTCTCTCCCTTCCTCCCTGTAAAAAATCAATAAAATATATTTTAAAAATAAAATAAATAAAAAGAACAGTTGAAAACAGACTTAAAATACCAGCATTGAGGGGTGGGGGGATGTGGAAGGGGGACACATGGGGACAGAAAGAGACTACTCTGCGCACACAGTGCAGTGTGCAGGTGTTTTATTGAGTTGCACACTTGAAACCTGTAGGGTTTTGTTAACCAATGTCACCCCAATAAATTCAACTAAAAATACCAGCAATGATCACATCTTATTTGATTAGATAAGGTTAGATCCTAGTCAGATCTCCAGCAGTAACTTGGCAATGTACCTGGCCTCACTCAATGCGGGAAAGCAGTCTTCTAGTTCCTTAATCTGGAAAAGGAAACTTAGAATGTTTCATCAAATGCACTTTCATACACTCACTATGCTGAGAAGCCCTCCCATCTGTGCTCTCACCCTCTGCTTAGTGCTTCTCCCTCTGAAATTAACCCTTTGCAAGGTGTAGATAAATTATCAATCTATTTTTCTGTCTTGTCACTGGGCTATTTGCTTATCAAATGCAGTGACTGACCTAACATTAAATCTCTGCTGCTGGCACAATCCAGTTGAGATCATCAGTCTTGGATACGTCCATACAAGATTAATGACCACTCACTGGTGCTGTAAGACTCAATCATGGGGTGTAATGGAAAAGGCATCAAATTGGGTGTGAGGGGAGCAGATTGTAGTCCCTAGAGTCTCCCTCCTCACACAAAAAATACTTTTACATTTTAAATTCCTCCCATGTTGAGAATGTAGCATTTATGCAATGGAAAATGAGCAGATTCTTGAAGCAGAATTGCTAATTGACCGGGCATATACTTGGGAAGCTGTGGAACATTTTGCGCACGGTACCCAGGGAGATCTAACAACCAAAATGGAAAAACAATTCATGCTGCTAGGGGCTTCTGGAGAGGGTCCACCCTACCCCTCCACTGTATCTGTCAGCCTGAGTTAGGCTTAACTGCAAAGAACTCCGACTTCTCTGATCAGTTAATATGTCTGTCTTTCTGACTAAAATGACAATTTTAACCACTTCTTAAAATGGTACTTTGTATGTGTTCATTAGGGGATTACCCCTATCATCCTTAGTTTACACAAGGGTGTTCAATGCCTAGGTCAGAGGCTGTTTTGTCCATCTTGGATCAACACCACCTAGCACACAGATGACATTCTGTGATGGTTTGTTGAAAACTGAACTAATTATTACATTTAAGGCTAGCCCAGAGTATTATCTGAAAACCTGAGGACTCCCTAGCTCTTTTGCCAGCACTATATAGGGCCCCCTGTGAGAGGAATTAAAAGACCCATCTCATTCAGCTGGGAAGGCATGTTTGAGGCTACACTAGAGGGGAAAGATGGGCAGGAAGCTCTTACCTTCCGCTATACACACTTCTGTTTGCAACAAACATGGGCTAATTTTAATGTTGGAGAAGAGCAATCCCAGGTTGGCTGGTGCTAGCGTCATTTAAAAAACTGAGATAAATGAGAAAAACAAAGCCACCAACCATCTTGTCCTCAACAGAAAACAGAGCCCTCACCTTTCACAACACTATCAAGTGAGATTCTGTGGGCTGGACAGCATGTTGAGTGAGGAACACTGGTGGGTGGAGGGCTTCCCCGTGGGCCTCGCCTGGTCTGGCTCTGCCACTCCTCTATCTTACCAAGTAGGCTGCATCGGAGATTGGTTGGATGGCGGGTATAAAGGACACAGGGTTGGGGAATCAGTAACAACCTGAGCTCCAACACCCACTTCTATCAGTGCTAACCATGGCTCCAGGTTGTTAAATTCACTGACACTGTTTGCTCCTCCTTTACAGATTTCTTGCGAGGCTTATTCATGTCATATTAATTTACTAGCATTCAGGAGGTGCTGTGTGTGTGTGTTTAAGTAGCAGTTATTAGGGAAGATTCACTGCCTTGGTAAAGGGAATCTTGTATTCTGCTGTGAAGACCATGGAATCTCCATCTGAGCAGTTTGTTCTGCACAGCTGTAGCCACTGTTCTCTCAATGGGCCCATTTTTCTGAATCGACTGTACTCATCTTTGTTTCACATCCTTCACACATGTTCAGTGGTTATTTACTCAGGGATGGCATCTTTCTGGGTCTGCCTTCCTTAAATATAGTTATACAATTGGAGACTGCCAGCTCCAGGGAAATGGTCTGAGGTTCAAAATCCACATCTTTCACAGACTGCCTCAAAGTTGGATGAAATCCCCACTAACAATTTAAGGATATCTATCAGGCCTAGAAATCCTCTGAGGTCCTTTATCTAAAGAGGGCAGACAGCAGCATTCTACAATGCCCATGGAGAAGCAGCCCCTGAAGAATCTCTTACCAGGAAAAATGCTATCATAAAAATCAGAGAGTAGTAACACTTTGATACTTTTATATCATGAATTTATATAAACTGTATCCAGGTAATAACCTAAATCAGCAGTGGCATGCTGGTATGCTGCAAGCAAGACTTTTTAAACATGCAATTTAGTCAGGGGCGCTACCTCTTTTCCCTTAGATCAGCGCTTCTCAACCTGTGGGTCGCTCGATCCCCAATCGAACGACCCTTTCACAGGGGTCACCTAAGACCATCGGAAAACACATATATAATGACATATTGTTTTTGTGATTAATCACTATGCTTTAATTATGTTCAATTTGTTACAATGAAATTGGGGGTCACCACAACATGAAGAACTGTATTAAAGGGTCGTGGCATTAGGAAGGTTGAAAACCACTGCCTTAGACTGTCAAATAAAATCATGACAATAGCCATACAGTGTGAATGAATCAAAATTATACCTATTTTTTTGTCAGATTAGCAAAAAATGTATTTTTTGGTGTGCCACATAATTTTTTTAAAAATATGTTTTTATTAAATGTTAGAGACAGAAGAAGGGAGAGGGAGAAACATGGATGAAAAACATCACTATCCATTGGCTGCCTCCTGCACACCCCCTGCTGGGAAGTGAGCCTTCAACCCAGGCATATGCCCTGACCTGGAATTGAACCTGCAACCTCCTGGTGCATGGGTCAATGCTCAATCACTGAGTCACACTGGCCGGACACTGCAGAACTTTTAGCAATGAATTTATGTGAAACAGGAGATGAAAAAGTTTGAAAATCGCTGACCTAACTGATTTTCCTTAGCTCTTTATTTTTGTTTTTTTGAAAGAGGGAGAAACATCAATTTGTTATTCCACGTATTTATGCATTCACTGGTTGATTTTTTTAAAAAATATATCTTTATTGATTTCAGAGAGAAGGAAAAGGAAGAACGAGATAGAAACATCAATGACGAGAATCATAGATTGGCTGCCTCCTGCATCCCCCTTAGTGTGGATTGAGCCCTCAACCCAGGCATGTGCCCTTGACCACAATCGAACCCAGGACTCTTCAGTCAGCAGGTGGACGCTCTATCCACTGAACCATACCGGTTAGAGCTGGTTGATTCTTGTATGTGCCCTCACCAGGGATTGAATCCACAACCTTGGTGTATGGGATGACACTCCAACCAACTGAACTACCCAGCCAACGCTATTTTATTTTTATTATACCATTTATCACAATTTGAAATGACCTTATTTAGTGCTCATGTTTTTAAACTTCTCTTCATTATGTAAGCTCCATGAGGCATCACTGTGGCTAAACTGCCTACAACACAGTAGGCGCTCAACAAATACCGAGCTGAATGAAAGCTCTACCTCACAGCACTGTGTGCATTAAATGAGATTATGTGTGTTGACAGCAAAGTGCTATCAACCAATGATGTTAACTTAATCCTCACTATCCATTTTATAGAGAAGGAAATTGATGCTTAGGAAGCCTAAGTGATAGCATGTCCTCAGCTCCAGAAACCTAGCCTGTAGTTGTGGTCTTTGCTGAGAGTGCCCTTGGAACGAAGCAGTAAACTGAAGGCGGCTAGCTGGGAGGTGATGGGCTAGACAGGTAAGAGGAGGAGGGGGAGGGAGGAGAGAAGGACTGATCCAGTTAATCCTGGAGGAAGTGTTCATGGGTCGATGCTCATTTACCACATTTGAGTTAGTAGCTCAGCTTCTCTGAGTCTTGGGTTCTCATTCTTTTCTTTTCTTTTTTTTAATATATTTTATTGATTTTTTACAGAGAGAAAGGGAGAGAGATAGTTAGAAACATCGATGAGAGAGAAACATCGATCAGCTGCCTCCTGCACATCTCCCACCGGGGAAATGCCCGCAACCCAGGCACATGCCCCCGACCGGAATCGAACTCGGGACCCCCCAGTCCGCAGGCCGACGCTCTATCC